AGCGGGATATTTCCTCGATACTGCTGGTATCACAACGTAGCAGTCGGTATGCTAGCGCTGCAGAGAGAGAGGGGGAGATTAAATTGAATATGGGTCAGTTCACAGCCAAAACTCTGCTTATCTGAATTCTCACACACCCTGAATGAAAGTGATTATCCGGTCGAGTTAATTGAATAATTGGGACCTTTTTGGAAATCATTTCCACTGGTCACTGTCATTATCTCTGCTGAAAACATATGCTAATAACCAAAACAGCAGTGGTAAAGCTGTGTGCATTGGGAATTCGTGTGATGTGGGAAACGGGAGAGTTGTCAATAATTCATAATCCATAGTCCTAGTTCATGGAAAATCTGAGCCCACCTCCTTATAAAAGAAAAAAAAAACTCAAGTTCCAGGGCAGGTGATGCAAAGCTGCACTCATCTGAAATTCAATCTGATTGTCTCCATGAAAGATTGATGAGGATTCCTTGGCCGCGTGTTTGTACAGGCTACATGGTTAATTTAAATCATTCATGTCTTTACGAGGAGTGTGTGTGCGTAGATGCTCGGCGGGGCTGCCCACCTGCTGATACACTTGCGGGGGAGATGGAAATGCATAGCGTGGTGCCGCTCGGGGATAGAAGGAGGAAGGGAGGGGGAGTGATGTGATAAGGGTCAAAACAAGGCTGTGTGTAAGACATAAGTCATTTGTTAGGGATTGATGGAGGGTTGAGTTACAGTGGTAATGGAGGAGAGGGGGAATCCAAGTCTGCAGGACTCATTCTTACAGCAAATTTAATTTGCGCCACATGCTGTGATCAATCCACATTGACCGCTTTAATGGGACTGTGACTGATAACTCTTATTGCCCTTTATGTCGCCAAATCCCGGAAACTGACAAGGATTTATTTTCTTATCGCTTAAAAGGAGCAGAACTGCATGCCATCACTGGATGATGACAGCTTGATACAAGCCAGTTATTCAAAAAGGAATATCAACCTATATAAAGGTGTTTTTATCACTTGTCCAACAGGTTTGCGCGTTCTCGAGCTACTCGTGAAGCTGAGTGACAGTGTATTCATCCACCAGAGCTGGAGATCCTATGCAGTCCGAGATAGAGATAAAGTTGTCCCTCTTATACTGTGGCTGGGTTAACCTGCTAGGGGCTTTTGGGCCACCCGCTTCCTCCCACTCTGTGTTTATTGTGCCACTTTGAAAAACCTATTGAGAGCAGTTCCTACAACAAGCTACACAAGCAGCTTAATTATATTGCGCCTACAGCCCCAGAAACCAATCAGTGCCATATGGCAATTAGTATGTGATCATTTGATTAAACATAGAGTTACTTAGAAATGCACAAATATGCATTATTTAAGCATAACATCAACTCATGCAGATCTTAAAAAGTTCTTTTTGACACTGGACTCAAGTAAAAGGAGTCAAGTTGGTCCTTATGTAAGATGTATTATGTTATATTGCACTACCATAAAAACTGATTTTAAACCAAGGGGCCATAGTTAAAGCCGAGACATCCTGACTCCCGAGAGATGGTCCAGGGTTCTTACATTTTCTATTTTATCATACCTTTGAGAGCTTCAGAGCCAGAGAAGATATTATACAGCTTTTGTACTCATGCTGAGTAGAAACAAAAATTAAACTCCAGTACTCCAGCCATTTATTGTGTCAGTTCTGTTACGTTGAGGGACTCACATTATCAGCAAGATAAAGAAATAGAGTGGTTGAAATTAAAGCACCCTTTCCTGACGTGCCCCTTTAAGTGTCAGCCAGGAGGAGCTTTAAGTGCACATTTCCAAACACATCTGCAGTTAACCTGTTAACCATAAAGCAATGGAGATCAATAACTAGAGGCTCACAGAGCTCCTTAAAGTAAAGCAGGCAGTCTCCTGGTTCGTAACCCAGTCAGTTTTTTTTTTTTTTACCATAGCAAACATGTTGTACTGATTTTTCAGGTGTGTGTGTGTGTGTGTGTGTGTGTCCCCTTAGGGCTGCAACTAACGATCATTTCCACTATAGATCAATCTATTGATTTTAAAAAATCTATTGATAAAACATTTAGTTTAACAGCAGAGGACAGTGACAAATGACCATGTCACATTCCCACAGCTCATGATTTCTCCAAAATACAAATATATTCAATAATTATTATATATAAAACAGAAAAAAGCAGCAAATCCTCACATTTGAGAAGCTAGAAATGGAAAATGTTTGCCATTTTTGCTTCATAAATGAGTTTAAAAGGGTACTTGGTATCTTAATGTCAGATCTCTTGAATATTAATTTATTCTATTCTACCTGATGGGCCCCAGCCAGAACGGCTCCATCGTTCGAGGGGCTGCAGATACCAAACGAGCCAAAAGGTTCCACCACCATTCTGTACATTTATGGCTCAGTGCCAATGCGATTTCCTTCTCATGCTGTGTGACCAATCTGGATCCTGTGCTGACTAAGATCTTCCCTGTTCACATATCCGTGTGCTAACCAAAACGCATTCACTGAAGTATTGAGTCTGAAGTATTAGTAGAAATAAAAAAATGAATGAATAATTAACACGCAGTCAAGTGCCTGAAACTGCATTTCCTTCTATTCTTTGGCTTTCTCATGAAAATGCGAACCCCTCTAGTGTTTTCTAAGCATTCACAAGTGTTGATATGGCGCATGCAAAAAGACAAAAAAACCACTTTGGTTATGTAACAACTCAAGCACATTTTTGGGAAGCCGTGCTCATTGCGGCGGCCGTTTTTTTAAAATCTGCATTCGTTGTTCGTGTTTGGCGTGAACGGGAAAACTGCCGCACCAACAGACATGTGTGCCCTTTGTCGGTGCCAGCATGGTGCGGGCTGGTTTCATTTCAACGCCACAGCGGGCAGAGGGTAGATCATGGCATGGCCCGAGAGAGAGAGAGAGAGAGAGAGAGAGAGAGAGAGAGGTGCAGACAGACTGAGATAAAAACAGAAATAGAGAAGAGAGACTGTGAGCTTGGCTAAGTGGATTATGTGATGTGGAAGGAAGGAGGGAGGGGCTCTGTCCCCTATCTATCCCCTAGCTCTGGTCAAATACTACTCGAATCGAGACAAAACAAAAACATTTACTTACGCAACCGTCCTGAAAATGTTTGATTTCACAGGACTAATTGTATCCTCATGGCTGGACTTAAAGTACCTCTTGCCAATACTTGCTGGGCTTAGGTGCCAGATGGCGAGGGTTTGTTACGCAGAGGATACAAAGAATGTCAGAATCTTACATGAGCACTTTCCTGTTTGCAAACACTTAAGTGATTTAAAAGGAAACCAGTAATTTGGATAATGTAGTTTGAGCTGGTGGCAAATTGGCTCAGCAGTTTGAGGTGACTTATATGACGAGATTCTGATGTGGGCCATTTTTTAATACGTGATCCAGATTGGATACAGGTCAGATTTTCTGCTGTGTGGCCTCAGTGTGAACAGTCATATCAGAATTCACGTGACTTTTGCGTCACTTTAGATTGACATTCGCCATGCGGGTCACTTCAGGACAGCGACCCGTTCACACTGGAATTGGATACGGGCCACATTTAACACCAACCAACAAAAAAAAAAAAAACAGGTCTGAGCAGTAAATCCGAATGGAGCGCTAAGGCTTGAAGTGTGGACGTAGCCTAAGAGTCTGTAGCCATGCTAGAGGCTCTACTAGGCTTTAATGATAGTCACAGCAGTGCCATGCTAACACTAGTATCCTAACATGCTCACAGTCATAATGCTAACATGCTGACGATTAGCAGGCAGTATTTACGAGCTTCACCTTCTTAGTGTAGTCCTGTAGCGTGCTAATGTTTGCTAATTAGGACCTAACACAAAGTCCAGCTGAGGGCTGATGGGAATGTAATTCGTTTTCCAGGACCGACAGAACGATATTTAACATCCCTACAAATCACTGGTAGATTAATAATTAATCCGAGTAATCATTACTCGCAGCCCAGAACGTGAGGTCATCACAGCAAATCAGGAACTGGAAACAAATAAACAAAAAAACAGTGTCATCTTTAATGTTTGCTAACATCAGCTAATATTAGCCACCATAAGATACCAGACCAAGTGAACACTGAGCGTATTTAATTGAACAATGTTGTATTTTAATGCTCATTAATTCAGTGTTTCATATGCAATATGAAGAATGTGTTATTTTTTCTATCAAAAGCTACAAAGTCCTGTTTTGACGACCAGCTTGAGAAGCTAACAAAGCTAACATTGCTTTTACAGGAAGTGATAAAAGAACTCCAAAGCTCAGGACTGCAATTGAGCCTTTGGGATTGAGTTGTTTTGATTTTGATTGCTTCTGGGTAATGGGGAAATACCTATTAGACTAACAAATTAGGTATGACCTCAGAGGATGGTACAATAAAGTTTTACTTAACGTACGTGTTTACATTTGGGTCTCTGGAAAGAAAACAACAGTAGATGGGTGTATAAAATTGCATTAAACAGCCACTTGAATAGGAGGGGACAATGATTTATGATTTATTTATTTTTGAAAGGAAAAAAAAAAGAAAAGGAAATCTCAAGAGTAGGCCTGTTTGAATTAAATGAAAGGCAACATATGTTTAAAAAGCTTTTGGGTGCCATGACAGTTCAATTCTGAGGCTTTGTGAATCACTGCGCCTCTACTGGGAACACACTACAGTTGATATATTAGGTGGAATTTTCTATGAAATTTTGCTGCATCTACATGACTCAGCCCACCCACCCACTTGTTGTACAATGGCACTAACTGTATGGGTTACTGTATTCCAGAAGGAAGGGCAAAGGCACTTCTGAGAATTTGGCTGCAGCATGTGAACCAGTTGGCCCACACTGCTTCCAGCTTGCAGGATGCTGTGTCATGTCAGATAAATATTAGGAGCACTAACAGTGGGGAATGGGCAGAGCAAATATTTTAGGTTGCTTATGAAGTCTACAGTTGCTTTTTCAGTGCCTTTTATCAGATGTGACCTATTCTTGCTTTGTTTCCCTCTGTTTGTCTCATAGGACTACACGTTGACCATGTATTTCCAACAGTACTGGAGGGACAAGCGTCTAGCCTACTTAGGAATCCCTCTCAACTTGACCCTGGATAACAGGGTTGCTGATCAGCTCTGGGTCCCCGACACCTACTTCCTCAACGACAAGAAGTCTTTCGTCCACGGAGTCACAGTCAAAAACCGAATGATCCGCCTGCATCCAGATGGAACGGTTCTCTACGGCCTCAGGTTGGTTCTGCTTCGCGCTGTAAACAAATAGCCTTTTTGTCAATATGTTTGTTCACTGGTGCTTCTGAGTAGGCGTTGTGTGCTGCATGTTTAGTTTTCCTGCTACGTTTTATGACCCCAAAAAAATCTGAACTCTCTTTTCTATTTTCATCAGTTTCATTTGTGTTGTTCTTTAACCAAGCAGCAGCGACCAAGTCTAAATGCTGAATTATTCTAATTGTCTACAAATTTTAGGACAATGCAAATACCAGAATACTCTAAGTATTCCTGTTACAGTTAGTGCAAGCAGTGTAACAAGTTAGACAGGAGAATTGGACCCAAATGCAGACGACTGAGGCAGAGCTGTGCAGTAGTACAGTGATTTAATTAACAAAAGTAAAAGAACAATGCTTACGGGATGGCGAGGCAGGCAAGGGTCAAAACCAGAGAAACAGTCCAACGAAGGCAAACAAATCCAACAGGGAGCAGGTAAAATCCAAAAGAGAGAGGCTGGGTAAAGGAAAACTAGGCAAGAATCCAGGAAACACGAGGAGTCTGGGATGCTTCAGTGACAATAAACTGGCAGCTGAGGTAAAGGAACACGCATACAGTAATTAGACACAGGTGAAACTAATATGGGCAGGGAAGACAATCAAAACTGGTGGGAAAACAGACAAAGACAGGAAATGAAGTTACTGACACTAGAGGAGAGGGGAGTATTGCAAAATGAAATAGGAAGAAACTAAACTAAAACCATGACAGTCCTCTTTGCTTTGGAGCTCCACTGTTCACCCAAAACTATTACAACACACCAATGAGCCACACTGTTAATGACATGTTCCTGCGTTACAATAAACCCTGGCACTGCAGTTTATTTGATCCCACAACACTTACTACAGCACCAAAACAAATATATTATAAAATATTTATCCGCAGCTGAAAGTAGTCCCCAACAAATACTCCCGCTGTTTGAGTAACTCTTGCTAAAAACTAGAGTGCCCGACTGTTTTAGAAAAATACTGAGCCTTTTTTCACAAATAAAACTATATACTTGTGACCAGATTTTAAATATTTACCAATAGCCTTGGGGTTCCCAGTCAGAAAGTGTTGAGAGACGGACTAACACATTGTTGGTTTGGGTCTTTTCATGGCGTTTGTTTACAGTATGAAAAATACAGATACAGCGCCTCCATTTTAGATGTCTTCTAAACTGATTGTACATGCAGCTATATGCTGTGTTTCCCACTATAGTGCAGCAAATGAGCTTATTTATGTTGTGGTAATGTGCAATTTCTGGGCCATGCAAATGAGCAACACTCCCCACAACAAGCAACAAAGTGAATCTCAGGGTCAAAAATGTTCTCAAATGTTTCCCAGTGTCAAGTTAACGCTATGTGTTTAAAGCCTTATTACTGCACCACACTTGCCCAAGCTGAGAACTTGGCAGTTCTGTGCTGCTGGCTGCCGAGCAGCCAGAGGATTATGCATCGTGCTCAAGGGCACCCCGGCATTTGATTTTGAAGCGAGTGAGGGTGCAGTCAGAGATCACCCATGAAAAGAAGTTTGAACAGGTTGGGAAGTGCAATAACGCAATGTTAGGCTTGCAGCTGTTGTTTGATATTTGTTTCATAAAGCCCTTGTTTTGAATTTCCATTGATCTTTTCGACAGACAGGTTCAGAAGAGTTAGCGTGACCTATGAATATGGATGCATGCTTTGAATTATTAGAGTGCAAAGCGAAAAGAGAGTGTGTGTGTGTGTGTGTGTGTGTGTTTGCACGCGTTCTTGCATGTTTGTGTTTGTATCTGTCAGCGTTCATACTTTACAGTCATACAGCCATGCTTGATTATGCAAGTGGAGTTCATAGCACTTGGCCTCGTGGGCTACTTATAGACCTCTCAATGCTTTCAAGAGATCAAAGGGAGAGGGTGATGTGTGACGGGGTGTTTGTGATGTGAGCTGTTACATAAATGTATGTCAGGTAAGGCTGACTAACAGATTCTTATCACGGTATTAAAGAACACACTGTATATTTATGTGTGAGGCTCATTAGGGCTGCAGCTAATGATTCTTTTCTCAATTGATTAATCATTAACTCTAGAGCAGCAAAATCATTACACACACAATATTTATACGCCAAAACTATCTTCTTCATGACGTTTTATTTCATATTTCATAACAGTGGAGTTGTCCCCTCGCTAGCTGCTAGCTACACATGAGCCGCTCTAGCTAGCTCACGAACTAAACCATCTAGCTCCGGCTGGCGAGAGCGTCCACAGAGAAAGACTTTGCTTTTGCTTTTTCAGAGTTGTGTGTCTTTCGCTGAGGAACATATTTAACCAAAATGCAACCAAGGTTACTCTCAATTAACCAGCTAATGTTCCAAGCTCACGACCCCGCATAGCGAGCTATGGCTAGGTTGTTAGGTAGCACGTGCAGCCTTGTTAAGCTCAATAAAAGGATCCAATGTTAGTAACGTTGTCTGTGTCCTTTATTTATTTTTTATTATTATTTATATATTTATTTATTTATTGGTGGTTTATTCAGAATTACTTTACCGCTAACAGGAGCTAACAGGCTAAATTTTGTAGCAGCTGTTGAGCTTGTTAGCAGATGGCTGACATCACTGGTGTCATTAAAAGTTATTATAATATAAAGGTTACATTAGACGACATCAAATGAGTCAGTGAAAAAAAGAAATGAAAAAAACAGACTTTTGAGAAAGAATGATGACGCAACACTTCGTAATGATAAATTAAAAATGAGTTTTCATAATTTATTAAATTATTTCCCAATATATCGGTTCATTGATGTGTTTCACATCATTTATCCATGTGATGATTTATTTAATTATGTCTTATTTAATTATTTAGTATTGAACACATTTTTCACTCCATAATCCACAGTCCCAAAAAGATTTCTCAATTTAATGCCATACAAGACTAATATCAGATATTCACTTTTGAAGAAAGAAGAGAGAGAAGTGGTTGCCGGTTCATTTTCTTTCCATCAACTAATGAATTAATCGCCTTGTTATTTCAGCTCTACTGTTTATTATTCTTTGAAGTTTGCCGCATGTACAGATTTAAGTCTATTTTTATTGATACAAAGTTTGATTGTATATCGGAAATCCAAGCTATATTTAAACTGCAGCGTCACAATCATTACAATGCGTCTATATCTTGCAGACCCAATATTATGTTATTGTAATTTTAGCTGTATAATAATATCACCTAATGGGTTTCCACAGGCCTCATCTGAGTCTTAACTGAATGAAGACATCCAGTGGCTAACTGCCAAGCAGCCGGCTTTTAATCAGGGCAGACTTAGCCTAAATCATTTTGAATTTGCATTTCACTTTGCTGCCTATTTTAACTGTCTGATTATCAGCCATTTGAGCTCATACATCTAATAAACAAAGGGATACCTCGTCATGACCCAGTTCAGATGAGCAGGCACTAAATACTGCCAAAATGCGTTGCCTTGATATGTTTTTTATTTGCGTATTTTTCCACTTAATCACTGGATGGATGGTAGCCAGTTTGGTTGAGGGGGGACGTGAATTGATTCATATACAGGAGTGAGGACTGTTTGTCTGTGATCTATAGTGTAATCATGTATACAGTTACGCAGTCAGCATTTCACCTTGGATGCGGTGCTATAATCTTATTTTAGGATGACAATGCCAATAGTATCCAGTAATATGAAGCCAACTGAGGAACTTAGTGTAGAGACAAATGGACATTTAGTTTCCTTCAAAGATGATGAGACAAAGTCAAGAGCTATCACCTTAATGCTTTGATCTAATTGTATTCCCACAGTCCCTTATGCTTCCCTGTTAAATAACTACTTACCTGCTTTGCTGTTTTTATGATAACAATTCAAAAGGGGCCAGAAAATATGATAATCCATCCTTTCTACAGTACCTTCCTATCCATCCTCCTTTCAATACAATTTGTGTAAATCACATACAGCAGCTAAAATATTCTTTCTCACATCCTCTCCCCATCCCCCCTCCATCTGTGTCTTCTTTTTCAGGATAACTACAACAGCAGCGTGTATGATGGATCTCAGGAGGTATCCCCTGGACGAACAGAACTGCACTCTGGAGATAGAGAGCTGTGAGTAGATATCTTATGCCTCTAGGACCGACTGTCAGCACACTGCGCAGGCTGAGGAGAAACCCGACATGGTCTCATTTGTGAAATTTTACTGTTAGAGCAAAGCAATATAAAACCTGGTTCTTTTTTTTTATTTTCAGGTCTGTAGGAGTTCTTTTAAATCTGTCTCAGGTACCAGAAGAATAGGGTTTACCTTATATGAAAGTTATGACTAGTGGCAGAATTCATCAGCATGTTTTAAAGGGGTAATCAAGAGGTACAATTTAGAGGAAAGAATGGACATCATTGAAGCAAAAAACACTGGGAGCTTCACTTTCCATTACTCAACAGGGTCCATTGTGGTCTCCAAACCCAAATTAAAATCACCCTGTGACCTCAGGGGTTATTTGTCAAGATTTCCTTCCTCCAAACCCACAGAGCAGATAATTATTTTCAGAGGCTCGATACTATGTTGTTGATTTTTATGTGTAAAATTGATGGTGGGAGATCAGTTACAGGTGTCTTTAGTAGATCTCTGGTTCTCAGTACAAAACCATGTAGCATCTACTATCTGCAGTGATAGCAGGAAATCTCCAAAGCATATAGCAGCCCTGAAAGAAAAAATAATGAGGGAAATAGTGACCTGCATACAAAGATTTTTGTCGGTCAAATGTGCACAGTATAATACAGAAGTGTCACGTTATTATTCAGGGTTAGGGTTAGACCGATGTTGACTTTGGTTTAACCTGTTACTTCAGCCAAACTGCATTTCTTTTCTTTATTTAGCAGTGCAAACAGTTGTAGGTACACTAATGTGGAAAGACTCCGGTCACCCTAACCCTATTTGCTGATTTATGTCGGGATGGAAAGAGAATTTCAACAAATACAACAACAAAAACGCTTGTGAAATACATCACCTACCCTATCTTTAATGTGATTTACACCTGAGATTATCAGAGGCACACGGATCCTGTTGGCATCTTTGTGGGTGAAGTTGAGCTGCAGCCAGTTTTTCAAATACAGTCTAAGAATGGAGCACATTCAAAGACCTTTTCAGATTTAGTTAATAGTTTCTGTATTAAAATAATGAAAAAAATAAAAATAAATTAAATGAAGCAAGAGCTTCCAAGCACAGAGGAAATGTCAGCTATTTTTGAATTCTTCTGACATTTTTGTGAACTCAAGTGAACCTATTAACTGACTTGCTTTTCAAAGCAACGTCTGGTTCTTGGAAACGACTTCAAACGTCTTTTTTTTTTTTTCTCTTCCCAAATGACAGCCCAGTTGGATGATCAGCAACACTGCATATCTTGGTCTCCAGTGATGGTTAGACAGATGGTTACACCTTGGTGTATGTGTGTGTGTTTCTTCTCGTGCAGATGGCTACACCACAGACGACATCGAGTTCTACTGGAAAGGAGGCGAGTCGGCCGTAACGGGGGTGACACGAATCGAGCTGCCACAGTTCTCCATTGTCGATTACAAGTTGGTGTCCAGAAACGTAGTCTTTTCCACAGGTAAATGCTTCGGCCTCCATTTCCTTTGCTAATAATACATGACAGACTGACAAATGGATGTTACATTTCAGATGATATTGTTCATCAAGCGCTGGCCTATTTTCAAGCTGATTATTTAATCAATTTCTGTAGCAAACAAATCTGTGCCAAAGCTTGATCTGTTGATCTTAAATCCTCAGAGTCAGAGTTGTGTTTGTCAGTGCTTCTAATTGGGTTGAAGTGAGGAAAGGCGCTGCCTTTGAAGTATCCCTCAAGTAACAGCGGCTGATGCAAGGATGCTGGAATGTTACTTAACCAAAACACGCCGTAAACGCAGTGATTTACAGAGCCAACCGTGTCAGATGGTGCTTGACCCTGAGAGGTGACGCTGGAGTGTTAATGGTTTGGTTATCACGCTGACATTAACAAAATGTAGCTGAAGACCCCGATCAATTCACTCAATCGATACGATCACTCACTGTGACAGTAGCAAGTCCATCTTAAAGCGGCTGAAAACTTTTCCATAACATTAATTAGTCACGACTAAATAAGCAACAGTGTAAGTTAAAGTTATTCTAACTCATCTAATCTGCGTCATCGGGACTGTGATTGACAGGGCTGGCAACATAAACAATCACACAACTGTTGTGCACTGAAGTGTGTGGCGAGCCCCGCCTCCTTCAGAACGAGAAATGCGTAGACAAATGTGCCAATGTGCATTCACATATCTTCTTAAAAGAGTTTGACTCATGAATTTTTTAATCCTTTCTAACTAATTTTACATCTTAATTTATTGTTTGCAAAGGCAGTAGGAAAGCCATTACACCTTCAAAATAAAGGTTTTAGTGTCAAAGCTGGTATATTTCACAGTAAAATAAACAAAGCCAGCTGTAGTGTAACAAAGTTTCAATAGCCTGCAGCACCCAAATGATCCTCAAACCCCAACTGAATATTTACTAATCAAGCATATGGATGCTCAGGAAAAACCAATGCGAGGTGTACACAGCTTATAAATCTTTTGACGTTGGCATCATCATTAACTGGGGTTGTGAGAAACATCAATCAAGCGTTATTTATAGTTCCACAATGGCCATTTTCTTTACAGCTTCTCATCTCTCGGGGCAATTAATCAGAAGACAGGCTGACATGTTATGGAAACTTCTCAAGTTACTGTACATGAAAAACATTTGCAGTATCGTATTTCATGCTGCAATTAATTTGTGTTGGTAGAAGTGTAGAAGAGTAATTCCACAATCCCCATTGCTCCCAGGGGGTATTCTGATATATGCTCTGAACTTTGGTTTTTATGTGGCGTACGATGAGGTCCTAAATTAATCAGATTTTTATGTTTCATTCAGGCCTAGATACAGAACTTTATTGACACTCCCTAACCAAGTGCCATATAATCTGGTCAGTGGAGAGCTTCTCCACAGCCGTAGCAGGGGGAATAAAAGCTGTGTGACATTTAGTAATATCATCATTTCTCACTGAAGTTGTGCTCATGAGGAGGAGTCACGCCCAGTCTGAAAAGGACACGAACAGCAAATCATTCTTTTGTTTCCTTTTTGGGTATTTTTAACATTTCTATTGAGGCTGCACAGTATTTTTTCCCTCTCATCCGTCCCAGTGTGCCTCATTCTAAATCGCTGCTCAAGCTTCCGCATTCTTTGCTTTCGCCCTCATTTTCTTGTCTTCATCTCACAATGTTGCACACGCACTGCGTTGCGTTTACCACCGTTCCTGGCTGTGTGTAGCACATGCGAATGCGCCGTGGCGTGCGCACCGAAGAAGAGAAGAATGTCCCCTGTGGGTGGCGACAATTAAAGTTTAGTGTCCAGTGGTCTGCTCTCATGCTCTTGGCAGGATGTGTGAAGCACAGCAAAGGCTCCCTGCAAGGCTGGCTAATGACCAGGTTTCCTCCATTACATGTGCCACTGGCCAGCCTTTAATTCCCCTTTTTTCCTCTCTTCCAATCTCTCCTCTCCGTCCTCTCTTGGTGTCTCTGTTGCTTCTTTTACTCTTTCTTCTTTTCCTCACCAACCTCCTTTATTCTATCATTACCTCTCCCTTGAAAGAGGTGTAGTTGGATGCCAATTGCCCTGCTCTCTGAAAACAAAGTATTGAAAAACAGCCCAGGATTCAGGGTATCATATATTCATGTGAACTGAGGCCCACAACATCAATAATTCTTGTCTAAGCACACATACACTGCCTGTTTGTGTGTGCGCATACAGTATGTATGTACATATGTAAATGAATGCATGACCAGACAACATTGCTGTGTTGGGTAACACATAAGTGTGTCATTTGCACATTCATCAATGCCACAGCCATAGTCACCTTTATTGTTATGTCAAGATAGGAGCAACAATAACAGCTTTAAATATGCTATTACATCTATATTTAATGTTTTCGCTGTAATTTGACAGTAGAGCCCTTTAAATGTTCCTTTAAGTTTGTGGTTTTGACATAAAAGTTTTGGTAAAAAGCCCTGAAAATGCAAATTTTCAAATGAATGTAGCGCTAAAATTCATTAGCATGCTTTAGCACTCTTGTCCTTAAGGATGACTACTTCACTTTTTAAAGGAATACTCCAGTTTTATTTGGAGGGTGCCGGAGATACAAAAAAAAACAGTTAAAAAAAAACAGTTTCACCAAGACTTCTTGAAATCTTGGTGAAACCATAATGAAAATGGTTATAAAAAAGATATAAAAATGTCATCTGCAACAACAACAACACTAGAAGAAGCCTCTCCTACTGAATATTTGTTTTTTATTTCCAGGTCAGATATTTATTTATCTAAAGAATCTCTATTTTTTTATTTGAAAATGATTATGAAGATTAAAACATTTATAAGATTAAAGTATTTAGCTTTAATAATTTCAGTAATTGACCATTGGCTTAGTACCAGCCCTTAGTTACTGTTGCTATGTCTGTCAAGCTTTCCATTGTCCTAAAGCACAAACGCAGTTTACAATTAAAAAAACTTCATATCAATTTTTAAAACCATGGCTCCTCGATTTTAGACAGTGGCAGACAAGAGAAGACCCTCATTTCTTTCAGTGCGACCCCAGATTTAAGTTGAACTGAAATGACAGCTAGCTAAATAAGATACATATAGGGAAGGCTAGGACTAACCAATGTTTGTTTTGGTTTTTTTCACAAAATGTAGTTAGCTAATGCTCTTTGGCCATGGAAGTTACGGATAGGTTAGCTGGACATGCTAACGTTTCCAGCTTACATTGGGGCGGACGAAGGTTTGGTTTCAGCAGGCTAAAACACTTCTGATTGTCGCTGAACCAAATTTCCTTGAAAATAACAGTGTCTCTGTCAAAGACTTGTTTTGTTGCCAGATCCAAACTGCCAGTGGTTACATCACAGCCTCTCATCGCATGTAAAACCGCGACAACCCCTGCCACGAGGGTGACAAAAGAGACAAAAAAAAATGGAGACAGCAGACCTCCTACTCCGCAGCGCTCTCGTCTACCCAGCCGCCCTCCCAGACTCTATTGCCGGGCTGTCATCATCCACTCAACTTTTATGATCATCCCAGCATCCCGTCTCCTTTCCCTTTCTCCCTCTCCTCCTCGGCATCACACATGGTGTGCCTCCCACTCGCGCATGTTGTTTGGTGTAGCAGTTACAGCCAGTACACTTGTACACCCACATGCGAGTGAACCTCAGCCTCCTCTTCTCTTAAGCCACTTCTGCATCTGCTACTGCGAAGATACTGGGTGCCGATTTAGGCACATTAAGGATGCATCAAAAGAAGTGAATGGGATATTTTAAGACCAGTGACAGTCTGTTCTCATTTACACACTATTGAAGTGTATGTTTAGCGTGTTGACTTTGTTCACGGCTGCCAGACTGTTAACCACAAGCCGAACGCAGGAGGATCGTCTAATGTAATAATTAGGGCATAGTTTGTGTATTTACATATCCTTTACACGACCAGCTTTAGAATATGCTCGACAGAGAGTTCTACAAAGATTAACAAAATTAATAAAAGTGTTTTGTGACTGAGTAATTGTTTAATTCGTATATCAACAAAATTGACAAGCATTTGAGTGTCTCTATTTAATATCATCGAAAATGTAATCTTTTTGAGGTTTTGACAGTTGCTCGGACAAAACAAAACATTTGGAAATGTGGGCTTAGCATAGACTATATGGACTGAACAATAAGATTTTAGATAAATGAATAGGTTGTAATATATTATGGGTTTTTATTGTTTTTTTGTTGTTGCAGGGATTAAGGGGGATTTAAGAGGTAAAAAATATACAGAAATGTAAAAGATAACATTACTAAGTACCACTTAATGTACCTTTAAATGGATCTTTGGTCAGTTTAAGATATGTTTACCCCCTAAAAAGTCCTTCATTCATGCAGATATCCATGATCCATTGTAATATAACACAAATCAATAATGTATCCATTATTTACTTGAAAACAGCTCAATTGATAACAAAAAAAAGAAACAGAAATCCATAGAGATTAACTGCAAAAGTCTTGTTTAGGTTGACTTGTTGCCTGCTTTGCTGATAAGAAGAGACATTCTGCTATCAGTGATCATTCCTCTGTTGTTTTATTTGCACAGTGTATGGCACCAAAACCTAACCCTCTCAGTAAAAAACAAAACAAAAACACATCTGTTTCAAGCCTCGTCACCCCGCCAACCATTTTGAATAGATTTTTATTTCCGAAGGACGTCTCTCTCTCTGCTTTTTACCACACTTGTTTTCTCTGAGTCATGATTTTACCTTGATTTGTTTTCGCTGAATAAAGACAGTGGTCCTCACAGGAACAGGACCGATGTCGACTGTGGTGCTCATGCAAACTACCAGCCCTTCATCCGTTTACTCCAAACAAACTCAAAACATACTGTATTGTGTTTATATTTGTGTACGCCAGCAGATTATTATAGACCTTTCCCCCCTCTGGGTGTTTGACAGCAAATAGAACAACTGCACTGGCTACAGATGCAATCATTACATAACAGCATCAATATACATTTATTTATTAGAGAGAAGTTATTTATTTCCAAACAGTGTGTACACATACCAAGGTTATATGAGATAGGAACCTGTGAATAAGCCACAGTGGCTCACTAGAAAGATCTTTAACTACAGCATGGAGAATTGACATCGTTGGAATAATGAGGTTGAGTCTTATTTTTTAATGATTTAGTTTCTTTTAGTTTTTTTTATACATAACTCATCACATATTCTTGTTATTTCCATGATGTATAAGGAAAGATGGTCTGCTTTGTTTTTGGTACCTAAATTACAATTTCCTTGACAGATTTAAGGAAAGAAATGCTTTGTGTTATATGATTTAGGTGAGATTGAAGATAAAGTCAATTTCATGTTTTATTGCATATTGTATAATAGTTTAAGGGCTGCAGTATCTTTTTAGAATTCCCTTCATTTTTTATGAATTATAAGTCAGCAGCCACACGAGTAGCTCTTTGAATCTGAATTAAATGCCAATGTCAGCATGCTAACATGCTAATTTCTAGCAGGTATAATGTTTACAATGTTCACCGCCTTCGTTTAGTGTGTTAGCATGCTTCTGTTTGCTAATTAGCACAGATTAACACGTTCAGGTAATCATCAAAAACCAAAGTATTGGACAAATTAACAGTTTGATGATCCCTTACTTTTCATGGATCATCATAAACAAAATTTTGTAGTATTCATCCTTTGGAAACTATGAGCGTTTGAACAAAATTTCATGCAGTCCATTCAGCCGTTGTTAAGATATTTCAGTCTGGACCAAAGTGGTATAGAGCCATCTATTGGTTTATTAGTCTATATTGGTCCTCTGGTTGCTGACTGCCTCGAAATGTCAGGAGCAGTTGTAGTAGATAATAAGATCTGATGAACAGCCCAGCCCTTTACAATAACATGTTGGGATTTTATTGCAATCTAACATACAGTAGGCACAGAATCTTAATGAGATTGTGTATTTTTGTGTGACTCTCTCTCTCTCCAACTCTGCACATAAGTGTGCAGTCGATTGGACCCACGCTCGCCACAAGTAGCTTTGGCTGAAACCCAGGGATTGGAAATTACAGCGTAATGGCCCCCACTTCTCCTCCAATACAAACCGAAAATGGAAAAATATCTAAGAATAGTGGGAGTAACGAGCCGTAGACTCAACCCATAAAGAGACGTATGCTGGGAGATTGATGAGAAATCACGCGTCGGCCGTATATCAGCTCCATGCACACGCGCGCACAAATGCTGTTTAGATTCCAGGTCATGGAAAAGTAATGGCAGAAATGCTCTCTCATGGCAGATCGTGGTGGGGAATATTATTTTAGATTCCTGACTTGTGGAGCGTCAGAGGCGCTGCCACATGCATTTATAAAGCTATTATGTAGTAATGCTGAATCCCTCAGAACCATCACGTGAATTATGAAGGTGGATGAGATGTGGAGAATTGATAAATCAGAACGTGCCATGCTGAATATTGTGTCACATCATCACAAAATAGGGTTACAGTTGCGTGTGTGTGTGCACCAGTGAAGGGGATACTTGTTACCATGGCAATAAATCCAACCCATGCTGTCGGGGTTGTCATGGAAACTGAAACAAAAACACAAGGCGTCTCTGTGTGCTCCTATGAATGATATAAGTTAGATGTTATATTTACTGTCAACGTTTTTAATGTTTTAAGTGTTTTTTTTTTTTTTTTAATCAGTAAGACCAGATGTACTTTTGCCGTTTAATTCGATGCAACCCATAAAAATTAAATTTCTGAACCGTTAGATCAAAACAAACTGCCTCTATCTTGTGTCTCTTCCTTTTAGGTGCCTACCCTCGACTGTCTCTGAGCTTCAAGCTGAAGAGGAACATTGGCTACTTCATCCTGCAGACGTACATGCCATCGATCCTGATTACCATCCTCTCCTGGGTCTCCTTCTGGATAAACTATGATGCATCAGCAGCCAGAGTGGCACTAGGTAAGAAGCAGCGGCAGTTAGGGAGTAGGTATTCGGATCTCTCGGATGAGGCCGGGGACCGAAGCGAGACGCAGCCTGCCCCGCTGGATTCCCCAAAGCGATGCGTTTTCACGAGCACAGTGAGAGGCTGAACTTCTCATACTGTCGCGGTATTAGTGGGAGCTTTGGGGAACGGCTTATAAAGTGGTGGGCCTAATGGAAATGGATTTGAAGAACATTTCTATTACTGCTGCTGTAGTGGGAAAAGGGAAATTAGGTCCCTGTCTTCTGTGGACATAGGCTCATTAGAGTGACTTTAAACTATGTAATTATTGTAGCTGAAATATTGCAACAAGCATATAAATGTTCCGTAGGGCAAAAAGCATGAATACACAACCCTGACTCGGACCAAACTAGGTCATACCTTGTGTCTGCAGTTGGAGTGGTCACCGTGAGGCCTCCAGCAGCTATAAAAACATCACTTCTCTAATGATCATAATTCCACTTCTTATTGAGGAGTGCTTGTGTGGTTGCAAAGGCCCACTCACTGTGGGGCTCCTGTGAGCAGTAAACAAGGCAGAGATGGAAGCAGCAGGTCGCTGGTTTGTAATCATCGTGAATCCTCGCAGGAGGTTGCGGCAGTTTTGTCTTTGTTGAATATTGAACCGAGTAGTTCGAGATGACATATGAGGAAACAGGCAGGGGAAATATATGCATAATATGAAGGTTGTCAAGACAATAGTTAGACTTTCCACAGCAGTTAATACCACAGTAAAATGGTAATTGAGCGAATGCTAAGCGCCTCCCCTGAACAGCATGATCCAACCATAGCTTAGCAACAATAACCAGTCACTGCATGCCTGCTGTTGTTTGTGAGGCTGGGTCTTTTTTTAGGCTTTCCAAAACCAAAAAGACAAGAACAAAAGAGCCGAAAGAACGGATTAAACATTGTGTTTATCTGCTCTAATGTTAGCGTTACTAATCACAGTAAGAACCTTCTTCCAAGGTTCAAGGCGGACATCATTAACTAACTACATTAGTTTGTGGGGTTAAAGGTTATGGGACTAACATTAGCTTAATTAGCTTGTCACACTACAGCTGATAATCTTCCACCGTTTCAAAACAAAAGTGACTCACGGGGGCGAGGCAAATTAGCCAAATAAAAGCATCAGATAGACTGTGTACATGGCAGCTTCATTACACACACACACACACTGAAATGACCACAGACACACAGTCTGCTGCGTGGACATGGTACATGGTTCAGATTGAGCAAATCCGGTGCAAAAAAATTCACGGTTTGGAAAGTTCCTTGCTTTTGGGTCATTGGTGCATTTTCGGTACAGCAGGGAAAGAAAAGAAAGTGGCTCATTGGCCTTAATTCTTACTGTAACAGTGAACACAAACATCAGTAAGCTCCATCGTAACTCTCTGACCTGTTGATAATTCCTGAACAGCTGCAGCACATAAAGGCACACTGCAGCACTGTGGCGCAGGCACTTTGACCTTATGTGTTTATCTGCGGTGATAACACTTCGATAGCATTAGTTATTGCTTCGGTGTGAATCTGCAGCGAGAGGACTTGCCTTCCGGTCTGTGTTTAATCGACACATTCGGGTGATGCCTTCATAAATCACACGTTTGAAGCGTTTCCCCAGACGTACACACAGTAAACTGAACAATGTCAGTATACGGTTTGACATCAATCTGTCCACTTTTTTGTTTTTTTTACTGTAACTGGGAAACTGTGATGCTCCCACACAGTGGATCTGAATGTCATTGGAGGATCCTCCAGCTCTGATCCCTCATAGACAACAACTGGGGCCAAAACTTTCCAGGAAAAAAAAAGAGACTATTTTTACATGAATTGTTTTTGTCAAAGGGCGTATCAAACCAAACACCCTGTACCAAACGGCTCAGGATGAATACACATACTGTTATACCCCATGTACTGGCCATGCCAATGGATTGCTGCTTCGGTTCATAGATCATCTTTATATGGATAGATAATGGAACAGTAATGACCTCAACACGTCATAATGCTTTTTAGAAAACATGCTTTGATCCATTACCTGTTATGCACATACACATACAGCCAGTTAGAGACTGGAATGGCTGCCTGGAGAGCGTCAGTGTGTGTGTGTGCGTGTGTGTGCGTGCATGTTATCTGTTTTACATCCGCCTTTATTTGCCTGCTTGAACTGGGTTCTTTCATTAAGGCATGCATGCAATATCTGGTCATTACCGTATGCCTCTGAGTATACACTGCTTTTATGCTTTTGTGTTTGTGTGTGTGTGTGTGTGGGGGGGGTGTACATGTGAAGTCCTGCTAGCTGCAGCATCCTCCTCAGCTGAGAGGCAACCGGAGGTCCATTCACTTCTCCTGATGGATCATTACAAGCTTTCAGCAGGTATCTCGACTGGTGGAAGAGGGGCGTGTGTGTGTGTGTGTGTGTGTGTGTGTGTGTGCACGCGTGCCCTGCTCCTTTGTGTGTGTAAACCTGCCAGTAAGAGCAGTGTAATGATCAGGGAGAAATCAATTCAAGGAGGCAGCAGGCAAACAATTGAATTGTTTGAAGGAGAATCTCATTTTCCTGAGCTATTTCGAAGGATTGCGAAGTTACAAACGACCTGCTCGCACCCTAATCTGGTTGCAACCCTTTTCCCACAGTCATGCCCTTTGTTCATAATCATATTATATGAACAGTCAAGGTGTGGGCATTAGCTGTTATTGGTATGGGAGCACTTTTAGTGTAATGGTAGACACACAACTTTGAGCTTGACTGTATGTTCTCCCAGACCTGTCAAAACCTCCTTTTCTCCTCAACCGCAGACTCCCAAAATGACAAGTCTTGAGAGATTGCATGCTAACAAGATAGCTGACAATTTGTGCTGTCTGCAAGTGATGAATGGAAGTGCCCAATTAACACTGCTTTGATTTACCGCCCATGCCTCTATTCTCACAGTTAACATTCATCGCAATTCCGTGCGCTTTATTGCATCCTACATGATACCTTTTTTCCCTTTTTATAACGGCGGGCTGTGTTGCTAATGGCCTATTGGCTTGTGATTAGAGGAGATTTGATTGCTGTGTGCCTTTGTTCCAGCTGTTAAGGTGGAAAAGAGACTCGGGGACATATAACCAGGGAAAAAGCTGGGGATTGGGGGGGGGGACAGCGGGAGCAAAGAGGGAAACCACCACTAAATGATGGTGAGATCTGGAGGGAGAGAGATACAGGATAAATGAAGAGGGAGAGGGAGAGGGGGAGAGATTGAGGCATTGGGAGAGATAAGGGGGGGAAGCAGGGAACAATGGAACCAGACAGAGAGGGGAGATGAGAGGGACAGAAAAAGACAGAGAGCGAGAGAAAACCCTATAAAACTATATTTCTCCCCGGAGAGCGTAACAGCGTGATGAAAAAGGAGGGAGGCCCATGAGCGCAACGGCCCCCTTGATTAAATTGTCCGTACAGGGAGCGAGGGAGGGAGCAAAAGGGAGAGGGATGTGAGGAGGGCTGGAGGGGAGGGAGTGAAGGACAGAGAGTAATGGCGCAGCCGAGAGAACACCTATAAAGAACATGGCTGTCGTTAAGCGGAAAGAAAAATCCCAGAGATAGCGCCGTCCAATAGGGGCAGAGACACCGAGCATGTGCACATGCAGCTCGCTCGCATTCGCACACGATTCTCATGCGACATGCACACACACACACACACACGCGCGAGTGGTGTTAGCCTTGTAATATGTCAATAAATCACACTAAGGGCTAGATTGACCTTAGCTATCCCGCTTCCCTCCTCCTCCCCCCCGACAGTTCCTTGTCTCTACACTGTACTTTATGACGCACACACACACTCTAAAAGCCGTGTCCGCGTGTTATATGAGTGGCCCGGCCACTGATAGGCTTCATTTATTTCCAGCACGGGTGGATAAAGTAGCGTAGATGTATCTGCCATATATATCTATAATGAGATAAGATATAGCTTTATTGCAATGCGGGGGGGGGGTGTTTGCGTGAACATGAGTGAGAGTTGTGTTTATTTGCTGCAACTTTGCGAAACGTACGGCAGCACTGGAAGATACGTGGTCCATGTGTTTACAGTACATGGTCGCAGCTGCAGAGCGCAAGCAAATACAGATGGGCTGCAAGTTGCACAGCATACAATGTACACGAGTTACAAGACATTACAACTTGTTTTCTGTAGATTTGTATGTGGTCGCACTCTGTATTTGGTTATTTTGTCTGCATTTGTAGGGCATTTCTGTATTCACTTGTGTTTCCCGTTTTTGCTGTATATTCCTGTATTTTCTATTTTTGTAACGTGTCTGATTTTTTTTTTGATTTTTTTTTTGTCTGTTACAGTGCGTTGAGCTCTCAGGCCCACCGTAGAAATGTATCCAACCTCAGCTAATTCAATCTATTTGTCTTTTTCTCTCTCTCTCTCTCTCTCTCTCTCTCTCTCTCTCTCTCTCTCTCTCTGAAACACACAAGGTGCAAAGGTGCCTTTCCTGGGACATAGCAAATAACCACCCCACTCGGTGCCCCTCGTGGTTAAGGTTACCAAGAGCTGGGGGCTAGATACATGCGGCACTATTCTAATGAGTTATTTCTACTTGATGACCAAGGGGCAGTTGGAGGTTTCAAGGCAGACCTTTGAATTTCAATGAAGCAGAGGTTACGCATTCATCTACTAGTTTGTGTGTGTTCATGCATGTAAAATAAGATCACACATGACAGCGATCAGGAAATTGTCTTATAAGAGTGCTCAAAATACTGTAGTGTCATTGACACCTGAAAAAGGCAATCAAAAAGCAACATAATTATTTTTTTTCCGTCAATCCTGCTCTTTACTAACAGAGGAAATGGACACAGTAAAAACATGTTTTCTGTAAAAATAACCTTGTTTCTACAGTAACACCTAAGACATCTGTTGGAGTTTCCTCCAACGTGACCTTAAGGTTACTGACAAGATAGCAGCATCTGCTTAGAATGGCAGGTGGCTCCTTTAAGGCAGGCTTATGCCAGAAAGGTTTGGACTAATTAAGCGTCAAATTTAACATCCCGCATAGATTGCCAAGCTTGGTAATGAGGCAGACTTGGATGGGAAAAAAGTAATGTTAGTGTCACATTTATTTTAAATGATGCTGAACTTTCTTTTTAAAGTGAGATAAAATGATTTGTATTACCCCAGACATAAATCAAAACATCAATGCAGCTTACAACTAGCTAGCCAGGTAAAGCTACCTGTTATGCTTATACTGATATTTATCAGTTCTAATGCCATTACTACTGTGTTGTCCTAACTTTAAAAAGGCCTTAAAAGCATCTTTCTACTATGAGTGATGTGATTCTACATTAATTCCATTAGAAGTGGAAGGGGCTCCGGCTCCGCTGGAAAAAAGTTTTTGACTCTAAAACTTCCCAATCATTTTGATTTAGGTTTTTCTCCACAAACTTTAGCTTTGATCATTGCATATTTGAGCATGTATATTTAAGGTTAAAGAAGAAATACTGAACCAAAGTTAAAACCAACTTTTCAGGGGCTTTGACACAGTTCCCACTAACGTGTTAGCTGACAGTTGCGTATTTACACCTGCAGCAGACACGTAGCAAAGCCAGCATTCATTTGGAGTCGTGTTTAAGGAAGTCCACCCAACTATTTGTCCAACATTTACTCTCCTTCCAGCTCTGATCTTCTCCAACTCTTGAGATAAATGTGTCTCTTTCGCTGTTAAATGCGGCACTATGCTCACCAGCTAGTTTCTTACTGTGTTTAGCAGCCGTTTATTAATTAGTGTACAGTGGTTTTATTAATACTGTTTGTTTAAAACAGCTGCCTGCTGCTGGAAACAGTTGAGTGTCAGAGTGAATCGAAGCGGTAAAGTTGTGTTCCGTAAAACCAAAACAATGACTTTAAAGCCGCTCAATAGAGCTAAGGGGAACTGCAAAGGCAAGTGATCATTTTCTGTAGGTTTGTCACTACAAGCAACCCCTGTCACTTTACAAGTAGTCATTCATTTCATTACTATAAAAATATGGATTGGTGCAGCTTTAAACTTTAACTGTTCCACAATACTAAATCAGTGCTGCTAACACTATGCTTGTATTACTCATCAATGTACATTTCTTCATTGTTATCTCATGGCGGTCCTAGCTCCTCTGGTGATTTTATGCTTTTTAGTATTAAATGACACTAAAAATACCATGTCTTTCTTTACCCTAATCACCATAATAAAGGGATCACCACGGTGCTGACAATGACCACTATCAACACCCACTTGAGAGAGACGCTGCCCAAGATCCCCTACGTCAAGGCCATCGACATGTATCTGATGGGCTGTTTCGTCATGGTCTTCCTCGCCCTGCTGGAGTACGCCTTCGTCAACTACATCTTCTTCGGGAGGGGCCCTCAGATGCAAAAGAAGCTAGCGGAGAAGGCCGAGAAGGCCAACAACGAGAAGGCGGCCAAGTACGACGCTGCAAGGGTGAGTTGGGATTCGTTGATTGGCTCGATGGATGAATGGGTTGAATTAAAAAGTGGATTGGATTAAAAGTAAATCAAGAAATGAATGTGTATGTTCAAGGTGAGAATGTTGAATTTGTTGTTGCTAATATTTGTTGATTTTTTCCCCCCCAACTTGTGGAAGCCAGTGGCCTGTGGGATCGATGTTGTATCAAGGAAGCTGGAATGAATATTCCTTTATTTAAGACTCAAATTCCTTATTTTTTCTTCCTCCCAGCATGAACGATATAACAGCCTTGACACTGCAGTTATTCTCAAATGAACTTTTCTGTCAGCTCTTGACAGCAGAAGCAGCAAAAGGAAAATGTTCTCCATAATTATCCCATTATTCAAAGGCGTCTGTACCCCCTGGTGGAGCCTTCAGTAGCCAAAATATGTTGGTTTTTAAAAAAGAAAATCAATTTTCAGGTATTTGTTCCCAAAATGTGGCTGAATATTTTCATCTCCTCAGGAGGCAGGTAGTAGGACCGCGTCCCTAAAACGGTCCAATCAGGTTAAAGGTCTTCGCCACTCACGCTCGGTGAGTTGCTTGTTCAGTGAGACTCTTCAATATCCTTGAGTCAACTCTGCCATTGCCATCCGCTGACATGGATGTTTTTCTTTTCTTTTTTCTTTTGCGTCAATGCAAAATATTTCCCCATCCATGGAATGAATCAAGCGACAGCAGACATCTTCATGACATTGCCATACTCTCAGGAGTATTCATTTTGACTGACTTTTTTTTCTCCCCACATTGAAATGATGTTCATGCTCGATCTTACATTGTAAAACTGGTGTCCCAGATCTGAAGCCGTTTCTTCTTTCAGAGGTCATCCTGAATGCATGCCGTCTGTGTATCGTCTCTCATTAAAATCATCATTAAAAAAAGGCCACATTTCCCGCATAGCTTTCATGGAGCGACACTGCGCATGTGAGGATGTGGTAAAGCAGTCTGACTTTCAGTGGGTAGTCACTGCAGAGGTCCCCCATCATGCCTCTTCACTGCATTAGTGGCAACAGCCAGGACTCTCCAGGAAGGAGTCTGTTAAAATGCTTTTCAGTGGCGTGGTTGAATAAACCTTACCACAAGTAAGTTTCCTTCTAAAAGGTGTGTTGAGACAGAATGGGAAGAACATTTTAGTCACTGCGTATAAAGTCAGTGGGACCCATGTGGCGAGGGATAGACGTAAATTTATTCAAGTTAAATGTTTGCTTTCTGTCTGAATACACCTGAAGGGCTCTCTAACCTGTGCAAACACTGAAACTTAAAAAAAAAAAAGGGAAATGTGGGACTTCCACAGTTGCTACATTTGCACGAATGATCACCATTGTCCATTACTGTTGATTTGTTCTGTGGTGCACACATCATCGGCATGGGGTATGATGCATCTCCTATGTGTGGGCTTACATTCAGTCCAGAAAAAAAGATAAATCTTCACTCAGATGGGAGTTCCACAAGTCGTGTTGATTATCTCTGCAATTCATTTCTCCTTCCCCCGGTCATTTTGGATTATTTTAATCATTCATAATAAATAATTCCCTCACATTTCTTGGAAAGTCTTCAGTCATGCGGAGCAGCCAATGGTGTAGTGGCTCCAGTAGTGCTGCGTATTCATTTTAAATTGTTAAAAATCTTGAATGGTCATCTGGTAGACGTGCTAAAGAATGGCTGCCATTTAAAAATGGCATTCAGTGACAGAAGCTGTGCCCAAAACACTCCAAATCTGCACTGTACAAAATTAGGATAATTAATAAAAGGCAAAGCATTAGAAAAAATGTCCCATGGACAATTTTCATTGTTTTGTTGGATTTTTGAGGGACTCACAGATGGCATCAATTTCACATTTAAAAAGTTTTGCATCTTTGTAGCCATTTTGAATCTTTCCAACAAGAAATGTGAACAGTCACTTCAAACAGACACTGACCCCCTTGGGGCCCCTTGGCCTGTGCCCGGTAAGCTCGTTGCGTAATCCTTCCACGACATCCACATTTCATGGTCTTGAATGCAATGTGCAAAGTGCCTTAAGTGTCTTAACTCCAGGTAATGTCCTCTCTAGCCGTTCCATTTATTTTCACATAATGTTGTTAATTAGTTTTCTAATTTCTTTATCCGTTCAGGCGGAAACACATGGCCACGGGAACATCCTGCTAACCACCCTGGAGATCCATAACGAAGTGGCGGGAGGCGAGATCACCACCAGCGTGGCAGACATTAGGAACTCTCAGTCCATGGTGCAGTTGGACAGCACGGCATCGACGCACATCCAGTACCGCAAGCAGAGCGGCGGGATCGGCCCGCGCTCCGCCAGCCGCCACTCCTTGGACCGGGCCGCCCAGATTAAACGCAGCCGCCTGCGGAGGCGGTCCTCGCAGCTCAAAATCAAAATCCCCGACCTGACAGATGTGAACGCCATCGACCGCTGGTCACGGATCATCTTCCCTTCGGTTTTCTCGCTGTTCAACCTCATCTACTGGCTCTACTACGTCTGAATGGTCTGTTTTGTTGAAATGTGTGTTGTTGTTTGTTTGATTATTTTTTCATTTTGTTCCTTTTTGTTCCTTTTTTTCCTGTTGCTTTTATACACGATGGAATCGGTCAAGTTAAAGACTGCAACACTACAAGACAAAAAAAAAAAAAAGCTGACTGAGAAAAGACTACGGAGTTTTGGACCAAGTTCTCGTCAAATTGTTTTTATATTTGCAGTCTTTGAATCCTTAGTACCAAGGTCTTTTTATTTTCTAAAGTATGTACTGTAATTGGGACTTGTGACAGTCATTTCCCAACATTTGCCCTCTCAGTAATGTGTAAATAGAGAGATACAAAGCCAGCAATTGAATAAATAATACAGTATTTGCAAAAAAACCAACAACACAATAGAAGTTAATGCAAGGATTTTTCTAATCACAAAAAACAAGTAAGAAAACTTTATACTACACAGGCGTTCAGATAAGTGCAGGCAATTCCAAAAAAGTCCATTAAACAAACTAATGTATGTTTGACTGGTACCCTATGCACTATTAATGCATGTAATGATCAGCCATAGTGAGAAAAAATAACAACTCCTTTTTTTGCCTTGGGTTATGTCACAACTTTACAGAAGACTGTGTATTTGTTTATTTAGAATATACAGTGTACTTGCTATTAACTATATCACGCATCGATCTGGTAAACCCTCACCCAAACACAATAATTTAAAGTAAAGAGGATTTTGCCCTCTGTTCAGGATGATTGTGACTCAGGTTCTGAAATGTTTTGCTATTTGGCATCTTTTTCTTGACAAAGAAAAGTGTCACTGAACTATCCTTTTTTGGGTAATTTGATAAGGAGAAAAAAAAAAGCACAAATACGAATGAAACTGCCATTTTCTCGCTTCTACCTTCTCGCAACAGCGCTTCAAAGTGATAGCATGACAGAATTGCACTCAAATTGATCAAACTTCCTCTCGAAACTGTCTGACTTTAACTTTACCAACTGCCAAGGGCCTTTTTGGGCGACACGGTTACTCAAACCCATGAAAATATTATGATATTTTTGTACTCTGTGTCTTCAGGTATTCATTTGATTTCCTAACCCGTCTTGTTGGTTTTCTTTTTTTTTATTATTATTTATTTTGCTCAACACTAACTCTGTTGTGGTGATAGAGTGGAGGAAAGAAACCCATCGTTTGTATATAAGTACATAAGTGTGTATATACATAAATGTATATATATATACTGTGTGTACAACCCCAAAATGAAAATGATCAAATATTGAGCATTTTGTGATTGTCATACTGGCTGTCAGAATATTTAGTGCAAAAAAAAGATGAGAAAAAAAACTATTAAACTAAACAGGCCAGTTTCAAGCATCAGTTTAGTTTTTGAGCATTAGTGGGGTGGGTGGGGGGGGGCGCTCCGAGTACCTTTCTCCTCAAACATCCGACCATGTTAAAGTTCCACACTAGACACCGTATGTATGTACGTTCACTCTGCACTCTAGACTTACTGTATGCCCCACCATACAGCAGCAAGTGATGCAAACGGATTTCACCGATTCCGCACACGGGCCCCGATAAGCGGCCCCGTCGACTAATAAGCACATACTAGCACTGAATGTATTGGATCCATTCTTCAGGGAGAGGATAATGAGCCATGGTCATCATTTCTCCATTGGAATGTAAACGCCCATTCTCACGTCGCGAGCGGCGAAGAAAGCGAGGGAGGGTGTTTCAACAGTGTGTGCATGTGCATGTGTGTGTGTGTGTGTGTGAGTGAGAGAGAGAGCAAGCGATGGGAAATGGATAAAGAGAGCTGGAGAGAGGAAGGGTGTGGGAAGACCATTTATTTTCTGTGCTGCTTGCTCGACTATGGACAAATGTCAACGTATAATAGTTTTGTGGATAAAAATAGCTCTCCTGCCCGACTCTTTTGATAAACTGTCTGCCATTCCACCTAAGGTCGCAGAGCAATCAACCGGTTACGACTCACGGACGTTGATGTAAATTTTTACACATTCTTGTTCAGTCATAGACACATGACATACATACACTGTGCATGTACAAGAATACATGTGGGAGGGAAAAAAGCTACTTTAAGCTACTATAATATTGAGTTCTGTTGTGATTGAGAAGCTGGAGTCACTGGGATCAATTTAACTTAAAAAATTGTAACGTTTTATGTGTACAGACTAATTGATATATGACTAAGAACTGAATGTATTGTACTTGGATTGTTGCTGCACAAATGCAATTTTCTTTCTGGAAACCTCAACCCTGATTAATCAGGCTTCTGGTTGATTCCACATTCAAGCGACCCCCCAAGTCTCTCGCTGGTTTTCTTGTCCTGTTTTCTACTGTGTAGACGGGGCGCAGCGAACACCTGGGTCCGAGAAAGCTCCGGTTACAGATTAAATTATATCTATATGTATGAAAAGCCAAAACATCTTGCTGAAGGTGTGTTCAGAAAGAAAGCGAATTTGATTGCTGTACAGTTCGACAGCCAATGGACCAACTGGACTTAAGTAGTTAGCTAGCTAGCAACAGATGCGTAGGAGTCATACAAGAAACTCACACTTTTTCCCTACCACCTCTATACAATATACAATAAAATTCACTCGCCGCTCTTTTTGAACACACTTTAAGAGGACGCTTTGGCTTTGGTCTTGGGCACAAAGCAATGTTTTCAAATGCATTCAAGGTAGAGCGTTTTAAAGTCACGGAACCAGTTTGTCCAAAGATGTTTCAAGCTGCTTTGTGTAGTTTCGACGAGGAAATTTGTACCTGACATTTCGAAACTGTCCAAAAAAAAGAAAAAAAAATCTTCCTGGCTTCTGGTTCACTTTGATTTAAACGATTACTTGCGGGTCATGTGTTGAGATTTAAAAGCACGTTTTTGCAGTTGGTCATTGTACGAGTCTTTTTGTTTCGGAAAAATTTACCAAACTCATTAGTGCAGTTGAAAAGTGAACGAGACGGTAACTGTTACAAACTCTAGCTACTTGTTTATCATGCATGCAACTACAATTCGTAACTTGGAAGATTTTTTTAAAAAGATATTTTGCAAACTCACTTATAAGAGCTGCCAACTGCTCATTTTAGAGATGACATTATGCCATGTGAGCCTACATTAAAAATAAAAAAAAGTAACAAAAAAAAAAAAATACAAAACAAAACAAACAAAAAAAAAAAGAGTCATCAAAGACTTCAGGTGTTGTATGGCCTTGGTCCCATAATGGAATGTGAAATGTTCTGTGCTGCCACAAAATGTATTTAGGCTTAGATTTATACTGTATATCTCTGTATGTTTCTCTTCCTTTTTCAATAGATTATCATGTTAAACCATCAAATAAATTATATACATTGTACCTGTGTATTTGGTATTGGCATGCATGACACTCCATAAAGAATGTGCATTGTACGTATAGCAAGCTAATACAATGAACATTCAAGCATCTAATAAATTATACAAAAATACATTCTAATAAAGCTTGAGTGTGATAAAAGGTTGCTGTACATATCTCCAGGTGCCCTTGAGCAAGGCACTTAACCCCTTTCTGTTCCCAGTGCAGCTACTCAGTGACAGACTTCTTATTGTGCTTGGAAACTTTCCAGGTGGGCATCTTATCGTGTATGAAGTGAACTTTATGAATGTGTGCCAGAGTGTTGATGAATAAGAGTACAGTAACTCCCTGGATAAATAAAGATTGAAAAAAAAAAATAAAGACTGTGGAGGTGGAGGTTATTATTGGGCATCGCAACCTGTCAATTTCCCATCCTACTCGATTGCCACAAAGTTCACGATTCCCTGAGCAACTTGTTTTCACAAGTGGTACAAAAGTTTTCTTGCTCAAGGGGTTTTATTACACAGTTAATGTCAAGAGTTCAGTTCTTTACTAAATCAGCTTGTACATAACATTTCTTAGCTGATAAAACTGCTATTCATTAACTAACTATTGAGGTTTACCATCAACTAGATTATTTGTGCCTCCATAACAGAGAATTTCTATCAGTGTGCAGTTTAGCACCCGATTTTGACTTAATGTTATTTATTTCTTCTTGTTAATTTTTGTCTAGTTTTAGTCGACAAAAACTAGTTTTTATCAGCAAAGCAGTTTCATTTTACTTTACAAGTACCACAGTTACAGAGTTTATCCTGTTTTCGTAAGGTTTGTGGAAAAGACACAACTTTACTGTTTATAGCCTATTTAGAGACTGCTGAATAGTCCACACACATAGAGCCTGACCGATATTATTTTTTAGGCCGATACTGATTTTAGAGTGGAAATATTCACAGACTGCCAATATGGCGACCGATATAGTTATAATATCTATCTATATAATATTAAAATAGACATATTTTACACCAATGTGACTCTGCAAAAGGTTCTCAGAAGGCTGCTTTCTTAAAAAATGTAATTTTATGAAAAGAATGTTTAAGTTAAATATTCTAAATATTAAGCTTTTGCCAATAGTAGGTTTGTATATACATTTTCATATGTTTCGGGCACCCCAAGAGTAGAAATGATCAATTTATCATCATTATTTGTAAAACCAGATAAGTTAATTTAACTAAAAAAAAGTTGTTTACACTGATTACATCGAAAGTTTTAAGTAAAAGTTACTCAATTTTGTAAGTTAAAAACACGTTTTTGATCAAGTATCTGTAGTAATTGTAAGCGATACGGACTTCATTTTATTTGTACTGTGAAAACAAAATACCTAGTAAAAGTACTTAATCAAGAATGTTTAATTTACAAAATTGACTTTTTGTTACTCAAAAATGTTATGTAATCAGTTTCAACAACTGTTTTGAGTTAAAATATCATATCACATTACAGTGTATATAAGCCAAAATTAATTAGGATCAAACAGTTGTGAATTTTAGGAAACTACAGTAGGTACAGACGGGTGCAGTCCCTTGGAAATCCTCTCAAAAATCTGTAGACCTCATTAAAGTTCCTAGCCACCTTCCTCCAGATGAGGAGGTTCAACTGATGAGCTTCCCAATCAGTTAAATAATCCTTGAGAGGCAGGTGTCTTCCAGCTGTTCACAGTGCTTTTACAGAATGATTATTCTCCCTGGTTAAGGTTAAAATCAGTGTGAGTGCTAAGAAGGAAAACTTGCATAGCCTCAATCCTGCTCTGGAATATTTGGGATATTCCTACTGGAAGATCCACTGAATTTTATATTTATTTTTTAAACAGTAAGAGGAAGCTACATCAGAGGCCTCAACTACAGAGTGTAATTCCTATTTACAAAGAGTCCCCAGCTTTACAGCTAATGATTATAATTAGGCCATTAGAAGGAGGTCAGAGCCACCAAAGGGACCCGCAGGGAACTATTTTCGATTTCATCAACGCACAACACAGAAGGTGGAAAAAAATAACGTGTTCAAGTGCATGTTTGTTCTTCATCTGACTCCAAGTTTGGCCTCCACAGTTATTACAAGATGTAATCATTTGCCCATGATGCTAGACTAAACCTACCGTTAGTTCAGAAACATCTCAACAAGATACCTCAACGTGCTTATGCTAATGGTGTAGCCAATCCTGCTCATACTGAACACAAACAATAAACCTGGGTTAACCACTAACTGTAAATAATACATTATGTCTCATTTACTTTAAGGACCAGCTGGGTACATGTAGGTAATCCAAGCAATGCAATTCATTAGGGATGTCAAATAACACAGTCTCCATGGGACTTCTTGTGAAGAGATATAACACCAATTTTACATTTATTAGTCATGAGTACTGCTCAGCCTGTAAAAAACGTTTGGAAAATGTACATCATGGCTCTGGAAAAGCTTTCTAATGTCCGAGAAAATGACTTAAGCAGCATCCCTTGATAGTCGCATCTTGGCCCCTGATCCTAGAAATCATTAACAGAAAGCCTGCGTTGTAAAAAGGGCACATAAAGACTTAAAGACATGGGCATTTACCAGTCAGCGAAATCTCTAAAGCTGCATTCACGCAATAACAGAACAGGGAAACCTCCTATAATTGCAACATGATTCCAAGATGTTACCCCACTGCTTAGCTTGCATTCACACCCCATAAAAAGCCCAAATTAGCTTCTTTTACTGTTTAATGTATTTGTAGCGGTTGAAACAGGCTTCAAGGACTTTTTAACTGCTGATGAAACAGACTCAATTTAATACAGATGCTTCTATATGACCTACAAAACCAAACTGGAGCATCAGTGAGAAGATTGTAGTTATTCATAATGGCTGCCGCCTGGTCGGTTTCCCCTTGAAAATCAATGAAAAGAGATCGGTACAAAACGCTTTTATCCACATTAAACGTAAGTGGAGGCTTTGCAGTTATGTTTCCATCGGTTTGTGCTGTAGTTATTTTCCTCAAGTGGGAAAAATCGTAGCCTGGAATGACTTGGCTACCCGGAATTACAACCGGAACAATATGACATTATAATGGCGTGATGAGACATGCGAGATGCATTATGGGTTAAGTGTTGGATTCATGGTTTTTGGAGCTTGAGGATAACCTGATATCTGAATTACTGAACAATTTAATTTGGATGAGCCATCCATAAACACCCATGTTAAAAAAGCCCCATTCCTCAATAGCTAGATGCATTTCACCATCCAGTTTGACACAGCATTGCACATTTTTTCAAAAAAAGAAAACACACTTTGAGCATTAAAATGAGAAGTCTTTGCCTGCCCTCCATCCTCCCCAGGTATAGAATACATAGATTGTCTGTATCGCACACTATTTATGAATACTCACTTGAGAAAATGCTTAGCTTGGCTTTCTAATTCCCCTCCTGCCGATCCACAGTACATGAGTCCCTTGGGGTACGCGTGATAGATTTTTAATCTCTTTCCTTTGGAGCCTTTATAATGTATATAGGGGTTCTAACCCCAAGGTATATTTCCCGGTTTATCATTAAAATCATCATTAAAGAATATCATTGTTCAGCAGTTTGGGGGGAGGCAAGTGCATGGGGCTGTTGTTTATAACAAGGCACATATTATATCTCTAGGATAGGCTCAAGAATAGACTATAATGAAGCCTGGCCAATCACAAGGGTTAAAGGGGGGACACAAGGCCAAATACTGGATAATCAGGCTAGATCACGAAGATGGCTCAGATGTTTTAGACAAGAATAGGAGGGGATCTTCTAACTATGCGTTGCAACAAAGTGTTTGGAGGTGGTTTTGTATAGAATACCCAATGTTTGTTTATCCAGCTGTACCTATCTGCCTAACTTCCTACTCACAGTACATACAGTTCCCGCCTCTGTACCACCACACAACCAAAGTAGAGATTTGCAAAAGACTGTCAAACTGTTTCTAGCACACCAGGTCCCCAGATCATCTCTGCACTCAGTTTTGAGAGATAAAAAAACAACCCAAAAAACATATTCCTACTCTTCAATTTTTCTCAGTTTCTTCTGCTGTGTTGGAAACAACTGTCCCGCAGTTCTCATTTCAGAGCATGCAAACAGATAAATAAAGGATTTCCCTTCATATCAGGGCTTACAGTCCTGCCTGCTGTTTTTCAGGAGCGAGGTGGTCGTTGAGAGGATGACATGATATATTGATAAATGACCTTGGGCAAACAACATGCCAAGTCACTAATAAAAAGCACTCAAGAGAGCCGTAAACCAAAAGTCAACCAAAGGTTATCTGAACAAAAGAAAACTGTATTTTTTTAGAAGCAGTATCCCTCTCACTGCCTTGCTATCGTTCATTGTGATCTTATCGACTCAGTCTGGATGCTGAAGCTTTAAAAAGCTATTCACACGGAAAACTAAAAAATAAGGCAGGTGGTAGGCAGATGGATAAAGGCTTGTCCTCTGGGTTTGACATCGAGTGCAAAGGATCAGGATTTGTATAATTGTAGCACAGGTATTTCATTTTAGCACACCTACTGAGTGCACCTTATAACAACATGGCAGCCATGAATGCATCATTTTGGTTACTGATTCCCACTGGTCATCAAAGCTTCAGATTTGGGGTTATGAGTGTAAAACTCTCCCTTCTGAGATACATGGCCAACCATACGATTCAGGAACAATGCTTTTTCATATGGAACAAACCGGTGTGATACGATGCAATCTGATACAGCTCTTTAAAAGTGACATTGTTTACACACAGAAAAATGATGGGTTAAAAATAACCCAACTTGGGTTGTTTTATAACCCAACCGCTGGATCAGTATTGCACCAGACCAGCAGTAGTTAATTTGACCCAGCAAGATGGGTTGGTCCTTTTTAACCCAACAGATGAGTTAAATATTCTACCCAAATGCTGGTTCAAATTAATTACAATTCTGGGTTGTTTCAACTACATATTTGTTATATACTCTACCCAAATACTGGGTCAAATTAACCAATATG